GCTGAACCCTGTTTACCACAGGGGTCCAGCTTCACTCCCCTGGCTTTCCTGCTGCAGCCAAAGGCTCCCTGCCATTCTCCCCAACGGCGCCTTCTCCTCTTACGCACGGCGCTTACGCCTGTCGCCCCGTGTGGGTGCCGTCAGCAGGTGATGCCTATGTCTCCACCAGTCTGTCGCCCTCCCGCACCTAGAATGGCACCTGGCACCTCGCAGGAGCCGGTGTTTGGACGGTGTGTAGCTTTCTCGGTGCTTTCTGTGTATTAGTCCACGTGGTGCACATAACAGCCCCGAGCGGTAGCTCCGGGGTCATGTCCGTGTCACAGAAGAGGAGGTGTGCACGTGGCAGGCTTAGGGCGTCTGCACAGCTGGCAAGTGGCGGGACGGGGCGCTGACCCACAGCCTGGCTCAGGTCCGTCCCCGCCTTTCGCCGTGTCACCTCCACGTGCTCCCTCTGGTCGGCGCTCGGTCAATTCAGATTGTCGGAGACCGAGTCCACCCCTCGTGAGCAGGGACCCTCGCTAGACTGAGAAAGAGGGGAGCAGGGTAAGCTGTGTGGCGGGGGCTGGGGGCGCTGCAGGTGTCCCAGAGCTAGAGGCGGTCATTTAGGAATGGGGTCTCCCGGTCGAGCTGCGACAGCCTGCAGCCCAAGAAGGACGGGAGGTGCGGGGCTGGTGCTGTGTTCCGCTCGGTCCTTTGCTGTTTCGTCAGGCCTCCTGGGACCTATGCCGCGCCTGCCGCTGCTTAGGGAGGAATTGGGTGCGGCTCCCGTTGCCCCGCGGAGATGGGGAAGCACCCAGCAGCGGGCGGCAGCTCAGACAGTGCCCCGGAGCGTCCGGGGGGTGGGGCTCCAGCCGCTGGACCCCGGCGGTCATGGGCCTGGCTTCTCCCCGCAGATGCCTGTCTACGTCACCGGGATCACCAACAACCAGAACCCTTTCTCCTTCGGCAATGCCGTGCCGGGCCTGACCTTCCACTGGTCTGTCACCAAGCGAGACATCTTGGACGTCCGGGGACGGCACCACGAGGTACCCCAGAGTCCCCCGACTCCATCCCAGACAGTGTTGGGGTGGGAGGGTTCTCACCACGTGTCTTGCACTTCACGCCCTCTCGCGGCTCCGTGACTCCTTCTCGCAAGGCTGCAGCCATACTGTCCCTCCCCAGTATCCCTCCCGGCTTCTCAGTCTTGCTCATGTCCAGGAACCCGGCCGCCCAGCTGCCCCCTCGCGGTTCCCAGGACAGTCTGCAGCCTTTTCATTTTAAGCACATTCTTGCCAACCAGCTGTGCTGCACAGGGGCTTAGTGACCTGCTAGCGGAAGGCAGCAAAAACGACAGCCTGGTGGGGACGTCACAGAAGTTCCAGAACGTCTCGGGGTCCTGGTCGGGGTCCCCAGTCTGTAGCTTCTGACCTCCTTTCTGACATGACGCCTGGCAGCCCTGGGGTTTTCTCCAGGTTTATCCCAGGACGTCACCCCTGTCCCCTTAGGCCTCCCTAGGGGGTCCCCGGCCCCTCCCTAAGTCTCAGCTGGAGAGAGCATGCTACCCCCGTTTGTATGAGCTGGAGCCCATGCGAGAGGAGGGGGGATGTGCCCGGGGTCGCCCAGCCAGTGGGCTATGGGCCGGGTGCCGGCCCTGGTGACTACAGGCTGCCACCCCGTGTGGGCCTTGGTCACCTAGGACCCGAGTGGGGTTGGTGCTGGGGGTTTCTTCTTGTCTTATCCATGGACGGCGGGGAGGGGGCCGGGCATGGGATGGGGGGTCTCCTGGAAGCTGCCTGAAGCTCATCTAGTGCAGGACGAGGGCCTCCCCCCGACCCTATGGGACCAGAGTCCCGTCCCCAGACTGTCCCCGTGGTATGCAGACGTGTGACTTTTTCACAGATAGCTCACGATGGGGGCTCTAGGGGGGAACACCCCAAGTCTAACATTTTCTTGGTGATTCGCCTGACCCCCCGCACAGTCGAGGCTCTGAGAGGTCCTGTGTGAGAACGCTGGTTGGCCTATAGCCTCTTTCACAGGCTACTGTGAACAGTGTGAATCGTAGCATGGGGCGCCCTGCGCTCGTGCTGGGGTGGCCACAGGCTGCAGCCCCCTGTTAGCAGGCCCTGAGGGGGCGGGAAGGCAGCAGGATGAGAGCAGGCAGGCAGTGCAGGGAGTCTGGGGCTCCTGTCCGGCTCTGCCCTTGGGGACACTTTTGCCACCTGTCGCAGGCATCGCTCCAGCTGCCGTCGCAGTACAACTTTGCCATGAACGTGCACGGCCGGGTGAAGGGCCGCACCGGGCTGAGGGTGGTGGTCAAGGCCCAGGACCCCACAGCCGGGCAGCTGCTGGGCCTCGCCAAAGAGCTCTCTGACGAGATCCAAATCCAGGTAAAGGACAGGTGGGCAGAAGCCACCATTAGCGGGAGAGCAAAGGCCAACCCAGCAGCCCTGCTCCTCCCAGGGGCCTTGTGAGCACATGTCAGGGGGCTGGGGGAGCCCAGAGATGGGGTGACCCAGGGCCTCACGGAGGGGGTATGTTTCAGGATTGCGGGGCCTGGCATGTGCACAGGGCTGAAGGTCTGCAGTAGCTTAATGTGCTCCCAGAATAGCAGGTAGTTCTGAGCTCAGAGTCTGGGGTGCCTTCTTGGGGGAAAAGGCTGGAAAATTGTCTGAGCCGGGCATTCATTTAGTTGTCTGTATATTTCACAAACATGTGGTGCACTTAGCAGAAGCAGACACACTCTCCCCACTTCCCAGGCCGGCTCCCACAAAGCCTGCAGGGCAGGAGCTGCAGGTGCAGCTGCCCTAGATGAGCCCGCAGCCCCGGGGGTGAAGTGCCCCTGCGGGTCCCAGGGAGTGGGCAGCAGAGGGTCCCGAAAGGCCTCGAGGGACGTGCCCTGCAAGACAGAGGGTGCGACCCATCGTTCACTGGTGGAAACCGAGCCTCAGGACGGGAGGTGGCCTGCTCAGAGCCCTTCGAGGGGGCACCCAGCAGGACTCGGACCAGGCAGGACCAGAGCCCAGCCACCCCTGTCCAGCCCAGGGCTCGACCCACGTCTCTCTCTACCACCCCTGCCCCCTCTGAACCCCTCTGTAAAAACAACGAAGAGCATTTTTAGCTTCAGGGACCCCATTTTGCTAATCTGGGACTCAGTAATGTCTGGGTTCCCCTAAATTGCAAAGAAAAACTGATAGCAGCCCCTTAGTATCATGAGAAGAGGAATGGGCTCAAGCCCCCTCTTGAGGAAGGAGCAAACCATTTCTAAACCAGGCACATACCTCATTAGGGGTAAAGAAGCAGATTTCAAAGAGAGAAACGCCTGCCTGCCAACCCCCCTCACCCCTGCCTGCACAGGCACACACACAAACACACACACATACAGACACACACACCACACACACACAGGCACACACACATACAGACACACACAGATACACACAAACCACACACACACGTACACACAGACACACACACAGACACACACAGGCACACACAGATATACACAAACCACACACACACATACACACAAACACACACATATACAGACACGCACACAGACACAGGCACACAAACCACACACACAGGCACGCACACATACAGACACGCACACAGACACAGATACACACAAACCACACACACATACACGCACACAGACACACACACAAACCACACACACAGACACGCACACACATACAAACACACATACAGACACGCACACAGACACACACAGGCACACAAACCACACACACATACAGACACGCACACACAGATACAAACCACACACACGTACACACAAACACACATACAGACACACACACAAACCACACAGGCACACACAGACACAAAACACACATACAGACACGCACACAGACACACAAACACACACACATACAGACACACAGGCGCACACACATACAGACATGCACAGACACACACAGATACACACAAACCACACACACAGGCACACACACACACAGACATGCACACAGACACACACACACACACACACACACTACACATGCACACAAACACACACACACAGACATGCACACAGACACACACCACATAACACACAGGCACACACACACAGACACGCACACATACAAACACACACATAGACACACACACACGGACAAATAACACACGTAGAAATACACAGATACATGCTCTTCCTAGCTGAAAACAAAAGGAAGCAAGTTCTGACACCTGTCCTGAAATTAAAGACAGGGCTTTGCAGCTGCCAAATTCTGTGACCTGTCAGGTCGTCTGACCTCAGTCAGGTCGTCTAACCTCTCTGCGCCTCGGTGTCCCTGGCTGACAGCAGATGGGTTTTGAGTACATCGGAAACTTAGAGACGCTGGATCCAGCCCACAGAGGTGTTTTATTTGGCTCATTCAGTGCTTTGAAACAATTTTTATTTGTTGCCAACATTTAAAAATAGGAAGATTTTGTCTAAAAGCCCAGTATGAATACATGGCATGATGCCACATGCTGGCAAGACCAGCAAGAGATAAGGGCCAGCCAGCCTCCCATTGATAGAGAGGGGCCCCCCAGTATCACAGGCCCCCCAGGCCCCGTCGTCTCCCTGGCACCGAGGCCGTTCACCATGGTGCTGGCAGTGGTGCTTTTCTGCCGGTCACATAATAGGAGAGGAAGCTCCCCCTGTACCTTCACCTCCATCTCAAGAGGGACCACAGAGGTCCATGCCTGAGAAAAATGGGAGGGGACCTGCCTGTGCGTGTATTTCCTGCGAGATACGTAATCAGTGAGGCAGCTTCCCTCTGGATGCCGCCTGCCTGGCAGAAGTGCTCACGCAACTCCAGAACCCGGTCTGGCTCCCAAGGCCGTGCTCCATGCCCTGTGAGGAAGCACTGCCACTCCATCGTGTCGCACGAATCCCCCAGCTCTGTGAGACAAGCGTGGCAAGGATGATTACTTCTAGACCCTTTTCACAGATGAGGAGATCGAGGTTGAGTGTATGGTCAGAACATGGCGGTGCGCGGAGGGAGGGGAGTCAGGCCAGTTTCCTCTTGGAAAATCATCCATCAGATCAGATGATTTTAGACACAGGCCCTTAGGAGCGTCCAGCTGGTCTGGTCGGAGCAGAAGCCAGCGGGGAGCCAAAGCTGTGCTTGGCATCTAGGCTCGGATGCCAAGCACGCCAGCAGCCCTGAGGGTCCCTGGAGATAGGTACCTGAAGGGTGCTGGGCGCGTCAGGCTGCGTCCAGAGAGGGGTCTGGAGCCCCAGGGAAGGGCTGCCTCCGTGGCAGGATTAAGAGTCCATCCGACATCATCGGGTTTATCGGCTGCTGGCCTGAGGTCACCAGGCACCCCGTACCAGTTCTGTGCGGATCCTGCCGGAGCCGGGCAGGCTAGAGGGTGAGAGGCAGGGCTGAGGGGGTGGATCTGGGAGGGGCATGTAAGGAGCAGCATGTCTCTCTGAGAGGTGAATTGAGAGCTTTCTCCAGGCGCTGTCCTGGCAGCATCACCAAGCAGGACCCTGGGCCCTGTCACTCTGCCGCTTTCCACACACATATGTCCCGAGGGCGCAGGGGAGGCCCCTGCTTCTGTGAAGCAGCCCCAGAGGCCTCACCAGCGCACCTGCTGTCCCTCCTCATCGTGCCTTTTAAAGCTCAGCCCTCGCCACCACATCACCAGCTGCATACCTGGTGCTGGCACTGGGCTCCCTCACCCCTGGGAGACAAGCAGACCCTGGACGTGGTTCCAGGGATCACAGGAAACAAAACTCCCCCTCTCTTCCAGGTGTTTGAAAAGCTGCGGCTGCTGAAC